GAAGGTAGAATTATTTTTTTGCTACAACGAAGTTTAAAAGGAAGGTTTGTTGTATTGAATAAATCCTTCATAAATTCTGGATTTAGACAAATAATTGATTTAAAATCTTCTATCATAAGAAAACGGAAATTTCTTAAGCGGATCCTTAGACTATTATCTTTTATTTATTGATATATACATATATATATATATATATATATATATATATATATATATACATATATATATATATATATATATATATATATATATATATATATATATATATATATATATATATATATATATATATATATATATATATACATACATATATATATATATATATATATATATATATATATATATATATATATATATATATATATATATATATATATATATATATATATATATATATATATATATATATATATATATATATCAAAACTTAACAATTCATCAAGAGATTATTCAAACCTTCTATAAACAATACAAAGAGCTTTTTTATGAATTCTATTTATAAGGTTGTCATAGTATTTATAACAAAACATCCAAATTAGGGGACAATAAGAAAAATTTGACATTATGAAGGCGTTAAACAACAAGGTATCTTTATTACGGAATAAAAAATTGCATGAAAGATCAAAACGTTTACCATTAGCTTTACTACATAAGTATTTAATATGTTCTCCAAAGTTTTTATTCTTATCAATTGTAACACCAAGTAGTTTTATTAGGGTATCCCATTCCCACAAAATTTTTGAATTACCAAACCAACTTTTAAATTGAAGTTTAGTATTTTTAAAAAGTATAAAAATTTAAGGGTCCCCCATTCAGTAAAAGTTGAGCTAATCCTTTTTTACCGTGTTTTGTGAGTATTTTTGTTCAAAATGTTAACAAATATATTCCGCAACATTTACAACTTTTCACACAGTATAATTTACAATCTTATTTATACTGTATAAAATTTTTTTTATACAGATTATATAAGATTGTTAAAAAAAAAAAAAAATTGAGTTAAAAAAAATTCATTTAAGGGTCCTCCCGAATTGAATAATCAAGTGGTTTTGTAATTTAGCATCGTCAGAAAGTAGTTATTAGCCGTAAAGGCTTAAATTTGGTTCATTATAAAAATGTATTCATAAAACACTAGCTGGTATGACCCGTACGATACGGGTCGTGCCAAGTCTAATCCACACCCGACAATCTCTAAACTTGTTCCTTAGTCTTTATACTATAATTTATTAAGTAAACAGCAAAAATAAATCAATTTAAAGTTTTGGTAGATGGTAAAATACGAATTTTAATTGCAATTACAATTAAAGTTTGCATTTTACCAAGACCAAACTAAATGCAGAAGAACTAGTCAAAAATGTAAAAATTCGCTGTCATGATTTTCTTCAGAGGGCTATAACCGAGCTTGAAAAAAGACTTCCAGAGAACAGATCAGTTTTTGACGGCTTGTCAAATCTGTCTCCAGTGAAAGTTCTTTCCTAAGTTGAAAAGGTTCCATTTTCAAAAAGTCAAGAAATTGAAAACCAATACAGAAAAGTCAGTATCGTTGAATGGACGGAATCTGACATTTTTAAAGAAAAAGAAGTTCCTAAAAATACTGCTGAATTTTTAGATAGCTATAAGGGGATATGTCGACATTTTTGGACATTCCGCTTTTCGCGACCTTTCCGACTACTATCTTGCTTGTCTATGTGTTCCTGTTTCTAGCTGTTTTGTTGAGAGAGTCTTTTCACAGGTTACTTATGTGAAAAGCAAAAGAGAAACAGAATGTCAAACCAAGTGTTGGATGTAGTCATTCGAATAAAATCTTATTTAATGAGCCGAAAGATTTGTTGTAAAGACTTTAACATTCCCGAATCAACGATTTCAAAGGTCGGTAATGAAATTTACTCAACAGATGTATGCAAAAATGAAGACCAGGGCATCCCGAACTTTAAAGGTGATGAGTCTGTTTTTTGCCGACTAAAACCAAAATTTTTTTTTTGATCGAAAAAAAAAAGGTCATATTTGCCGACTGCCAACTATAGATCCCCTTTTGCCGACTCTAGCTCCAATTTGCCGACCTAAAAAGTTCGTAGAGGGGCTAGACACCTTCTACGCCCTCCCTCCTCCGGACGGCACTGATGAAGATGACCTTCACGTATTGGCAGGGCTGCAGGTCACGCCGCCTGGGACAGCAATCCTGATTGGCGCCCTTATTTATCAAATTTTTCCGTTATTATATATGAAGGACCTCTTTTTTTTTTTTTTTTAGACACCTAAATTTCATTTGGCGCCCCTTAGATATCTGCCGCCCGGGACAAACTGTCCCGATGGCCCCTCCCTCTCGGCGGCCCTGCCTATTAGCAAATGTTTTAGAGATTAAAACTTAACCAAATAAATTTTTGAATAAAATAGTTCTACTTCTTTACTTTTTTTTTTTTTTTTTTTTTTTTGTTCTGGTTTATTTCTGGTTTCTTTTTTATTTATTTTTGGCCTGTTGCCGAAAAAAAACCTAGCAACCCTGATTCTGAACAATATATGAAAAAATTCAAGCAATTTGAAGGGTCATTTCCACATTTTCAGGATTTTGCCTGATTCTCACAATATATGGCTCCCTCAAGTGGCGTACTAAACACTTCGTAACAAGCACTTGGGAAAAAATCGCTATTGAATATTTTTGATGCCTTTTAAGAAAAAATTTGGCTACAGTTGTAAAAACCGAATAATTTTATATTCCAAATTGTTTGTAATGAAATATTAATAAATGTTTGTAATGAAATATTAAATGTTTGTAATGAAATATTAAACTTCAGTATCGCTATATATTAAAAAAATTAATTTTATTTTTGCAGTAATATTAGAAGTTTATTACAAAATGAATATTTACAAAATAAAATTTTGAACACGTCATAATATATATGTTAAATTTTGTTTCATTAATTAAATACGTTTAGTTTACTAAATATACAAAAATACTAATTATCTATTAAGGTTTAATGTGTTAATTGCGTGCACAAATTTTTATGAATAAATGTATGCTTAGATAAGTCACTTCTAAAATGTCATTCAATGAACAAGAATCTAATAATGAAAATAACATTAATAACACTATAGTTTTAATAATAACACTATAGGAAAAAAATAGGAAGAAAATGATATTTTGGGCAACATAAAAACATGTGCATATCTGTGTTTTTGTTGCTTAAAATGATCATGTTATTTTTTGAGAATTAATGAGAATAACAAATTAACTTAATGAGAATAATAAATTTATAATATGTAAACATAGTAAAACAAAGTTTCTTGATGATTTCCAAAGGCTATTTAGCAAGCAACATAATTTGGCATCTAAAATTTGCTCATTTAAAAATTAGGACCATTAAAAAATAATATTAAAAGACAACAATTAGATGTGCTTCTTGATTTAAATTAAAAAGAAGAGAAAAAAAAAAAGAAATTAATGAAAATGGACATAAAAACGGACAATGAAAAGACTACATTTTAATTTGTTTTCAGAATATTTAATCTGTTCTAGATATGTTAATTTTTTGTGTTTTTATATTTTGGTTTAACCTGTAAAATCAAGTCAATGATTATAAATCACTACATTTCTTTAAGATCAATCCAAATCTTTAACAGAGATGTAGGTTTCAAGACTCAAGTCTTGAGACCTACATCTCTGTTGAAGATTTAAGTTTTTCTTGGTACATTTTGTTTTTAACAGTACAATAAATTTTTAATTAATGATAGTAAAATAATACATCAATTAAAGGCCTAATAGTATACATGCATGTTTGATTCATATTGTGTTGGGTTTCTAAGAATCCAAGTTTAATATTGATCTTGTTAAAACTTACAAAGTTTTGGTCTTAGTCATGTGTTGCTTTTTTGATATCTTGGTATATATATATATATATATATATATATATATATATATATATATATATATATATATATATATATATATATATATATATATATATATATATATATATATATATATATATATACATATATATATACATATATATATATATATATATATATATATATATATATATATATATATATATGTATATATATATATATATATATATATATATGAATATATATATATATATATATATATATATATATATATATATATATATATATATATATATGTATATATATATATATATATATATATATATATATATATATATATGAATATATATATATATATATATATATATATATATATATATATATATATATATATATATATATATATATATATATATATATATATATATATATATATATATATATATATATATATATATATATATATATATATATATATATATATATATGTATATATTATAGTCTTGCATGGAAGTCAGAAAGTTTTTCTCATAAACTGTAGTTTTAAAGAGAGCATTAATAAACCAGACCAGAAAAAGTTTAAAAACCTAAATAATTTTTTAACTATTTCAACGACAATAAAATGTGGCTTAATTGTCGAGGTAGCAAAATTGTAGTCAAAAGAGACTTTTTTTACTTAAGTATATTCATACCTATGCAAAATAAGGAGGCCTTGCAGAAATTTGGGATGGCGGAGGCCTGAAAAATATTGTAAATTACAAAATTTTGACTACAAAATTGGCCATAACTTTTGTTACTTACAATCTTTTTGTACGAAATTTAAAATCTGTCAACAAATTTAAATTTTATTTTTAGATAGTAAAGCTGAAATTTTTACTATATCAGTGCCCTCACTTTTGGGCAGGGGAGAGGCAAACATTCACTGGCTTTTTTGTTCACAAGGCCTCCGCCATCCCAAATTTTTCAAGGCCTTCATTTTATGTTTTATAATATCTAAAATCATTTTTAAAAAATTTTATTTTTTTAGTATATTATAATTATGAATTAATAATTAATTAAAAACTCTTTGGCTTATAATTTTTTATACAGCAAATAGCAAAAATAAAATAAAAAATTGTTTTAAGTTGTTTAAATCTATTTTATAAACTATGATTAATGCCTTATTTTTACAGGCAGTATCACATGTGGTTTTCTTTTGTATGATGCTTAAGACTTATTAATATATAAAATGTCTGCAAGTAGTATACCAGAAGATGTTTCATCTGTTAAAGTTAGTCAATCATTTACACAAGATTTACCTAATCAAAGTCAGATGAGCCCTACTTCAAGTTCCAATCAAATATTCAATCAACAAACTGCAACTTCAATTTTTGCAAGTAAAATAAAAAGAAAAAGGTTATATTATTAGGTTATATAAATTTTTTTTTTTATTTCTGTATAATTATTGTTTACTTAATTAAATAATCTTTTTATTTCTTTTTGTTCAAAGACTGCCAAAAAAAATAAAAAAAAATAAAAATCTTAAATGGTAAAGAACACTTAGAACACTTTTTCTGAACTTTCTTTTTTTTTTTTTTTTTACAAATACTTGAATATTTTTAAAACAAAAACAGCATATATATGAATATAAAACAGCACATATATATATATATATATATATATATATATATATATATATATATATATATATATATATATATATATATATATATATATATATATGTATATATATATACACACATTTATATATATATATATGTATATAAATGTATATATGTATATATATATATATATATATATTTCAGCTTTATATATATATATATATATATATATATATATATATATATATATATATTTCAGCTTTATATATATATATATATATATATATATATATATATATATATATATATATATAAATATATATATATATATATATATATATATATATATATATATATATATATATATATATATATATATATACATTTCAGCTTTTTCAAACATAGTTTCTACTGTAACTAGCAAGAGCTTGTGGAATAGATAATTATTTGATTATGTTTCTTGTTTTGTTTGTGTAATCAATGAATGAGTAGTTATCTCTTTAGTGCCAGTTTGATGCCAGGTGAAAAGGCAAATGGGCTTTTTGAGTGGTGGAACTTAAATTCAGCATCACCTTCTTCTAGATCACTTATCATGATTATTTATCATGATAGACTTCTCTATTATATGTGAATCAATCAAAGTGAATGCTGTCACTTTAGATCTAAATAACCTAAAGTAACAGCATCAGGTTGAAGTTAATTTTTAATTTTTTTTTCAATTTTGGAAGATTGAGTATTTTTTTTTTGTTATTTAGGTGCCCCAAGAAGACCTCATGGTCTTGTCATAGAGCACTGTGGTAGTGCATTTAACCAGGAAGTTCACGCCTCCTTCTTTACTGTGACGCAAAAATATGCCCAGAGCTTGTTTCAAACGTGGATCTCCTGCTTATAAAGCAAGAGCTGTAACGACTGCGCCACAACCACACTAGAACGCACTGTTAAAGTGCTCTTCTGTGATTTTCTGTGATAAGGAAGCATCTGCGTCTCTAAACGGTACAAGACGAATTGAGACAAAACAATAAAAAATATTATTTCGATAAAACCAGTACAAAACGAAATAAGATTATACTAAATAAAGTACGAAATAACCAGTACAAAACAAAGTAAAATTTACCTTTTTAGTTAAACAAAATATTAAATTAGTGAGTATTAAACACGCATTTGTTCTGCTTGAATGTTATAGTTTATGTATTGCTCGGATTGTGGGAATTGGAAAATATCTGTTTGGAGCGAGGGAATTTTAAAATGTTCCGTAAAAACTGATCAAAATGAAACACAATTTTCTTGTTTCGTAAAAATACAGTACAAAACAAAACAAGCTTTACTTGTTTCCTAAAAATACGATATTTTTATTTTTATATTATAAAAAAACAAAATGATATTTTTTTGTTTCGTAAAAATGGCACGAAATAAAAACTATCCTTTTCTACCGTGACAAGCTGAAATTCTGAAAAGATACAAGAAGATGCAGATGTCTAGTGATAAAACGTTATGTCTTCTTAGAGCACCTTAATAGCTAATTTAAAAAAATTTGGTTACACTATTGTACCTTCCTTGTTGATATTGATGTTGCAATTTTAACTCTTATCCTTATAAAAATTTTACTTTACACAAAAGTAATAATGGCTGAGACATTTTAATTATTTTTGCTTTATATCAATAAGTGTCAGTTTGGTTTGTTTTTGATTTAAAACAAAAAAGAGAGTTCTTATAGAGCTATAAGTTTATTAACGTACCCTTTGATGCAAATTTTGAAACAAATTTAATTTTGTCAGCGGAAAAAAATTAGTTTTATGCTCAAATTAATTGAAATTTTGACTTCATAGTGCGCCAATAAAAACACCTGTAGAATAAGAACCACTCTTTATAATTTGATAAAAATTTATGTAAATGTAGCCTATGGCCACACAAAACTCTGGATAAATTTCAGTCTGATTAGTTAACTGATTAGAGATTTATTGCAGTTTTAGTTTGAATTTTTTAATTTTTATTCCTTATATTACTTAAACCTCTAAATATTAACGATATTTGGTTACTACTTTCAAAATAATGGTTACATGAGTGTTCTACTATGTAATACCAACAATTTTTATTATATTTATTTTATTGTTACATTTGCACTTTGTAGACCAAAATATTGGTTTATTATTTAAGGTACTAATTATTTTTAAAAGTATAAATTATAATTTATACTTTTTACTGTCATAATGAAAAAAAAAATGTTAAAAAAAGTTATCTAGATAGAAATTAAAAATATTTCTATTAAAAATATTTCTAAAATTATTTATATTATAACAGAAAAACTGTGAGTAAACCAAATTTATATAAGATAACTGACTGCTAAAAAGTTCAGAGGAAAAAAGTCCAAGGAAAATTAATCTACAGGTTGTCTTGAAACAAAATTTGTAAAAATTTGATTAAAATAATTGCAGAGGCACAAAAAAGAGAAAATCAGAAGAGAAAAATGTTATTTAAAGTTGTTAGTTAAAGATGTTAATTTAAAGATTTTAGTTAAAGAGTTGTTTTTTGGAGAGCAGTGAAAATTGTTTTTGGACTGTGTTATCAAGTAAGATTTTATCTAAATTATCATTAAGTGTATCAAATGTCTTTTTGTTATTGCAAGAAATCTTGTATCATATCTCAGATAATATGTTCTAGAGATATTATGACAAATCTTCAACAGTGTCAATGTAAAAAGGTCCTGTCTGATGTTAAGCTCTGTTTCGCTTTTGTGATTAAGAAATGGTCAATACAAAAAGGTCAATACAAAAAAGTTCTTTCAAGTAATTTAAACTTGAATTATAAACCTTATGTTTGGGTTTTCCCTATTGCAATTCATTTTAATGTAAAAGAATACTTTTGTATATAATCTTTTATAAAAGGTATAAAAATTATACCAGATGAGATGTATTTAGATGTATTTGTCAAAAACAAGTTCTGCTAATCAAATATTTATACCGAAAAGACTATTTAAAATTTTTTTTTTTCGGATTAAGTAAGAAATAATTATTATTTATTTAATGGTAAATAAAAACAAAACATTTTAATGGAAATAAAATAAAGTTAAAAAAGCGGTATTCTTCATTTAATTACAATTTTTATTTTGACAAATATCTTAAGTTGAACTAATGTGTGAAGCGTTTTTTTAAAAAGTGTTTTTTTAAAAACCCAATCTAATTGTTTAGTTGTGTATGGTGACCCATTTTTGCCATAAGAAAAAAATTCAGAGAAAATTCTGTGTCCCATTTTTACTGTTGCCATACAACTTCACTTTTTTTATAAATGCAGTTTGAAAAAAACATAAAATGCAACTTTAAGTTTATAGCATGTTTCTTTTTTTTTTTTTTTTTTTTTGTTGTTCACCTCCTCAAGGCCAAGAAGACCACTACAGATGAGAAGCAGGCTTGGACAGGAATGGCGTGCGATCGAGTGCTATTGCTGACCACGCAAATGATTTTATTTTTGACAACTTGACCACGATTGTTTACATGTTTTGATGATTTAAAAATTTCAGAAATGCTTTAAATGTAGAAACGCTAAGTTAAACTTAAACTAGGAAAAAAATAATAAAAAAAACTAATGAAAAAAAATTCCTAACGAAAAAAGAAGCGAAAAATAAATTCATAAAAGAAATTATATAAGCACTAAAATGAAAATAAAAACTTAAACTTGAAGCAAAACTTTTTGTTCATTTTTTATTACGTATGAAATAAACGTTATTAAAGCTTATCTTTTTAAACGTTATTAAATTTATGCAAATCGTTTTTAAATTAAGTAATAAATTACTACTAATGATTGGTTTAATAAATGAACAAAATTAAATAAATTTATTAAAAAGTGTTGTATATAATTTTTTTAATTGTATAAATATTTATTTTTACAAAAAAAAAATTGTTCAAAAATATAACATAGTCATAGTCAAAAATATAACATATAATATAGTCTTTTTAAATAGTAATTTAAATTTAAATAATAATTTAAATAGTAATTTATACTAAATTCATGCTCTAATTAGTAAGTCTTACTAAAAAAAAGGATTTCAACTTTTTTATTTGTTAAAAAAAAAAAAAAAAAAATTAATAAATAAAATGCGCCTGCAATTTAAATAAAATAAACTGCCAACAAGCACTTTAATTTGATTTTAATTTGAGCATTACAACTTTATTAATAAGCGTTTTGCGTAACGAATTTAAAAATTATTATAAAAGATTTAAACTCATTCATTCCTAACAAAATTAAAACAAACTTTGAAAAAAAAAATGTTTACAAAAAATAAAATGTTTATTTAAAACATTTAAAAAAATCGAAAGTTTAATCAAATTAATTGTAAGTTTAAAAAAATTAATCGTATGAACATTATAAAATGCTTTTAAACTTTTTCATTAATCAACAAAATATATACTTATATAAGTAAATAAAGTTATTTTATATTCTTGTGTAATTCACATAAAATGTGTAAAAGTAAAAAATGTGTAGTAGTCACAAAAGCTTTTGAACTTATTCACAAATTAAAGTAACTTAAAAAAATTCTTTCTGAAAAGAATGGTTTAAAAATGTTTTAGGAAGACATGAAAAAATAGTTTCAAATGTTTAAATTTATCATAAAAAATACATGCCTACCTAAAAAAACTTATATATAATGTTTTCTATTAATTTGCACATGCGTTTATGTAAACAATAACTATAATTAATTTTATGGTTTTATTTAAAGCCTTTACGTAAAATAAAAAACTTCAGAAAAGATCAACGATTAAAAGATATTTATAATGTAACACTTTTTTTATTGCATTCAAA